AACAGTATATCTTGCTTGCTAAGAAGTCATAATCAATGGATTTCAGTTATCATTTTCGATTCTCTAAAGCACAAACGCTTAAAGTTTTTGACTATAACTCAATATGGAATAATTTCGCACCGATGTATACCATGCATGAGAAAGTGGGATACGTCTTTCACAGTCTTCCATGACTGTGGTTAGGCAGGAACAAACATCGTCAAGTTCTGAACATCAAATTCTGAAGTTGTCTATGCGATACGACCAAATACCGTTCTGCCTTCTGTTCTGAACAGCTTCTCAGATATCGTTGTTCTTGTTGTACCTTAGAGAAACTGTCATGGCCTGATATAGAGCATGAACGCTCTGTAGTGGAGTATTTAAACACAATTTAACGGCCTTTGGCTGGCTTTATGTGCTATGAGAGGCAGTATAAATGTTCTACAAATGACGTTCTGTTGTTTAGTACAATTTACTCCGTGGACATCATACACCGCGTTATCGAGTACGTTTGTTGTATGTGAGAAGGTATATGGGCACCAATTTTTACGTCTTGGTACGATATCAAAGAGTTCGTGAGTATACATTTAGATCAATTGATCTACGGAATTTGGGCGCCCCGTATCTTTGCGGGTGTTTGGTTCATGCTTTACTACACTTGAATCGGTGGGTGAGACCATTACTTTTGTCTCAGCCTTCCGTTTTCAAGTGCCACCGTATATGAAAGCAAGAAACCGCAACTATTCATATGACCAAATGGTGACAGAATGCTCGTATCGAAGACTGTATTTACATTCCAAGAGTGTCTTAATTAGAATTAAGTAACGAAAAAATTTTATTCGAAGTCACGCGATCATCATGTTCAAAGAGCCAGCAGGGTGCTAAATTACACTATTTGAAAAGTTTTGAAGAATAATCACACTCTCTGCTTAACCTTTTATACAAAAAGTTTATACGGCCAAACGATTTCGGCGGCCACCTCTCCCTTTTCCTTGCCTTATCAGGGGGTTTAAATGCAATGAGACTGAAAGCCGAGAGTTGCGCATGCATGCTTGTTATTACAGTCTTCAGTTTCTTTTAGGGACCTCAGTAACCATTTACGTAGATATTACCGATGCCAAATTTACCTTTCGCCGAACTTATCTACTTTCCGCGAATATGCTGACAGCAAGTTTCGTAGGAATGACAATTAAGAGACTCTCTTCGCTTGTCAAGATGGGAGCACTTAAATAAACTTATTTGTTCATTAGGACTTGGTGGGTAGGTGATGCTTTCGAGCGTTAAATTATGCGAATCTTACCACTGACAAGAAAAGAGCCTTTTTTTCAAGAAGCTATGGTTTTTTCTGCTTTTTGTCCTTGTGGGCAAGTACTGGGTCAGTACTGAACTTTCGCATACGCAGTTATTGTGTTGTTTCACACAGCACACGCACAATTAGCTACGTCGATCACGATAAGCGCCCTTTGTCGACCTTTCAGAAGTGCTTAACAATTTCAAACCCTGCCGCCATCAGAATATCTGACTTACGATTCGCTATTTTCAAAATTTTACGTCATCATTTAACTGCTGGTGCTATTTAATTACATCCAATCAAATTACATAGGGAAAGTCCCTCTAATGAACATGCCTATGCTTGCCCAAAACAGGAGAAGTTTTTCCTAGTTTTATATGAGATATAATTGTGCAAGTTTCTCGATTCACATGCTCTAAAATAAGAACATTCTCGATTTTGTTTTGTCCTCTAGAACTTGGTCTCTCTCTATCATAGTAAACATTCCGAACAACGAATATTTAGCAGTTTCTAAGCGTATCTTCCCATGCAAGATATTGTGTATTAACGAACGATGAAATTCAGCGATTCGCATAGTTGGAAGGTATTTCGTTTCCAAACGGAACGTGTGAAAACTTCGTATGGGAACCTCTACAGTGTTCAAAACAGACAAACTGGAAAATAATTTGATTTGAAGACTTCAGAAGTTTCGCGAGCTATTTTAAGGTATGTAAGTACATATGTGTTTCTATACAGTCATAAAATTTCCTGCTTACTTAGAATCCTTCGAATTCGTTGAGTAGCTCGTCAAGCGTGTCGCCGTCTCCAAGTGAGTAGTAATTAAGTTTAGGCCGCAAATTCACTGATTCCTACATAACTCTGGAACTTCCTTTGATTTCTTTAAGCGCCGATCCTGTGGCGCAATAAATGATTAGTACTCGTCTGTGCACAATAATAATGTATTCGAGGCTGCTCGAAAGTGCTCATGGATACTTGTGACAATATAATTTATGTTTGTACGATCTGCACCGAGAATATTTAGTCTAAACGTACGTAAGTTAAGTCCAGTCACTTGACTTTCCCACTTAAAGTCACCAAAATGCTTCTAGTTCATCGGAGTGCTGACACATAAGACTGTTGTATGAACGAAATGATAATTCAAAATTCCGTAAAGCCAATTCTACAAACTGATAAGCGCCCAAACGGATGTTAAATTCTCAGTTCTCAGAAATTCTTCTCAGACACGAACAAGCAAAGTTACAGCCAGTTAACGGTAGAAACTGCGATTGTTCGGGCGATCGACTAAATTTCGGTGGCGGGAGTCCGTTCGAGTCTCACATGGCAAAGCTTTTTTGCGCACGTTGCTACGCTCTCTATACGAAATTTAGCATCCGCTCCGAATTCGTGCCGGTCAATTTTATGCATCTGTAAATGAAGAAGAAGAAATATCTGTGACATTCTTCGTTGCGTGTTGACCAGGTGTGAGCAGTTTCATGCAACCTTTTTTCCGAGTAAGGTTTTTTTTCCGTCGGTTTCTGCGCGAAATCCTCATCGTTTAACCAACTGATGCGCATATTTGAAGATGTACACAACTGCAGTTTTTGAGAACGAGCTTGATGAATTCTAATGCTGCGTCTCTGTTCCATTCTTTACCGTATTTATTCACTAAGGACCAACAAAGATTAGCCTTGCTTCGAACTTCTACTTTTGATAAGTTTCTAAACCGTGGCATCGTTATTACCTCATTATTACCTCCTCTACATGTAAGAGGCACGCGCGGCCATGAAATAAAACGATTAAGAGCCGCAAAGGAAAAAGCACGATACGTATGATGAAATTGCGTCCAAGGAATCGTTTAGCATGCATGTTAACTCAAATGATTAAGATCGCAATTCATGAACAAAAAGAGAAATGAGCCTACAGTTTTTGAAGGGGACAGTTAATTTGAATGAGCTTGGAGGTTCAAACAATGGGTTTTGCTTTTAATTTTCGAAAAAGTCCCGTGAGACTTCCAATGAAGGGAAAGCCATTCCTTTTTGCCTTGAGCAGTCTTAATCCCGCATTTAGCTTTTAGGTAATTCTTTTTATGTATTTGCATTTCGTTGTATGTCTCCATTGATTCCTTCAGCAACAAAGGTAGGGGAAATATTTGATAAATCACAAGGCGTTCTGTTTTCGTCTGAGTCATACTGATCTGAGAAGGAAGGAAGCGGTAAATGAAAGCTGAGAATGCGCAAGCAAACGTTCCCAATCTTTTGTTCACCAGAAACAATCAATTATTCAATGACTGGCAAGTATTGTTTCGCTGGTGGCCAGATCATGAGGGTCCCAATGCGCATGCACGAAACCTGAGCACGTCGAAGAACCTCGAAGGTGCGCTTGCTGGAAACTGTCGATGAACAACGAGTGTAGTTTATTTTACTCGGTACGAGAGGTAAGAAAACGTTTTCAACTAACTTTCGGTTTTCCTACAGTTTCTTTTCCATAATTTTTACCCTTACAGCGAAAACCACTGGGAAAATCATTGTTTTCGTCACAATGTCGACATCTCAGTGGTTGTTGCAACTGCTCAAGCTTTCGGCTAATCACAGATCCGTCTTCATGCGCTTATGATAGTTTAGAACGGCTGCGGAAAAGGCGGTATGGTCATGTTTGCAAATGGTCGTCACGTTTGAACTAAACCGGTTTGGGCATACATGACCAACTACTTGTCTGGTTACGAAGAAATATGATTTCAACTTTGACACGGCGGTTAGTTGTACGCGACGGTTAACTTGACGGTATTACAAGAAGCTTTAAACACGGATGAAAAATTATTTGAATCTTAAAACTTGGAGCAATTTTAGAATATACTGTTAGCTGAAGTGCACAGGTAATTTGGAAAAGTTTGCATAAATCTAGGCTACAAATCTTAGTAACGTTGCCAATACATCAGTCCATACTTTGCGATCTTTAATCGTGTGCGACCCACTATCCTGAGAGAAACGATTTAAACGTTAATTTGTCATTATAACCAAGGCGAACAACACATCTTTAAAAAAATATTGTGAAGGAATGCATCTTCACTGTAAGGTATGTAGACTAACCTCGAATTTTCAGGGTTGTTGTTTTAAAATCTCTGTCTCTTGTCAGAGATAATTATTGGTCTAGTTTATGTGATATCGCTGTTTAGTATATACTAAAACAGTGGATAGCGTTGAAGGCGCGCTCTGATTGGCTAGTCAAACTCCGAATATCCTTCGCTATTTACCTCCGGGCAACTCGGGAAAAAAATGGCGCCCCGGTTTGCATCCGTGACAAGCGAAGAAATCACTCAAATTAACGACAGTGGTGTATATTATCTCACTGTTTTAGTATATACTAAAACAACTATTCACCTCAGTGTCGCTGGTTAGCGGTGGATATTTACCTCGCCGCTTCGCGGCTCGGTAAATATCCTCTACTAACCACCTCCACTTCGGTGAATTGTTATTAATAACAACAATTGAGATATAGTAATAACATCCCTGATTATTTTAGGTTAGCCTTCATACCTTACAGTGAAGATTCTTTCCTTCTCAAATTTTTTAAAAGATGTGTTGTTCAACATTTTACTTTTTTGTCACATAAAACAAATGAATTCCATGTTGCCATGGATCTGTACGAAAATAGATCACAGAAGAGGTCAAACTGTGGAAAGAACATCAGGGATACAGTTGGCTGCACTTCATTTGTACCTTTTTTTGTTCACACCACATTGTGACATCATCTGTGATCTGTTTTGGAACTGATGCATGCAAACATGGAGTTTATTTGCGAAGTAGAGAAACTTTGCATTCAATGTCATTGCATTACATTATTCACTCAACTTTGGCATCTTTTCCTGGCAAATATTAAGGGCAACAACAATGAGTTTCAATCATATTGGTGTAAAATGCTGCTATTTTATCAACCTCATAATGTGTCCTAATAGTTTGTAGCCATGAAATGACAGTGATAGAAAAGTTAATCAGATTCTTGAGGGAATGACAGATTCATCTGTCATTTTTATATTTTGATAAAAAGTTGGCCATGTCATTGTACAGGGCAATATGAAATTTCATTACTATGACAGGACTTGCTCAAGGCACAAGCACATTTCTACTAATAAATTAAATGAAAATTAACACGAAACTTTTCCAAGATGTATGTTATCCATCAGTGAAGAAACTAAAGATTACACTACCCAAAAGCTTTGCCATTTTGAGGCTTAGCAACCTTTCAATAGGAGCGTGGCCTGTTGGGGCAGTTCCAAGCCCCCTTACATATGTGTAGATGGCTGAATTGATGGTGGAACCTCAATAAATAAAAAAGATTATGTTTATTATTTTTCTTTCCGAAACAAAAGAATGAAAATAAAGGGTTCAGAAATATTCTAGAGTTCATGTGAAGTTTTTTCATTTTACTCAACTCTTGTTTTCTTCCAATGACAAACGCTTGAACACATGGTTGTTTCAGTTTAACTGGTCACTCTTGAATGTGCATATATGTAGGTACCTTTAAGTAGGGGAATCTTATCGTCTGTACTCTACTATCTAAACTGAGCATCTTACAAGTTATTCTTCTATATATAACACAAGGTATATAACACAACAGTCTTTGATGAGGCAGGGTCTTTCATAGTTCTTCACCTCCCTGTTTTAAGTTAAAGAAAAAAACTAGTTTTGGGTACAAAATAGTATTTTATAGCCATACATGTGCCTTGACAAGTACATGTACCTTTTTGCCTCAAAATAGCTTTCAGTCATCCAAGTTGGTATAACTTTTAAATAGTAGAGTAATTTTCCATTGATTGTCAAAACTTAAACTGAGGTGAGTCTTAAAGAACTCTGATTAAAAGAAACAAAAAACTGCTTGAAGCAAAGGAAAATGCAACTATCACAACACTTTCTTCAGTCATGAATTGAGTTTGGTGTTCATCTGATCTTGACAAATCCATTGTATCTGGTGATTTTAATGTTTATATTGTAGGTTCTAATGGTATATGTCAACAGATGGAAAATAATACACTTTTGTATAAGGGCTCTGTTTTACACAGAGACACATGAACCTGAATGTGGTTATTTTTAGAATTTCATATTTTCCATGCAATTTTTCAGTACTGCATTTTAAGGAAAAGTATGACAAAGAATGTCAAAAGGAAACTCTATTCTCAAACTTCAGTTATTTAGAAAAGATGTAAATGTAAACAATTCCTGGAAAATTTACTTACCATATGTTTTGAAAGAAAAAATATGACCCTGGCACATTCAGATGTCACTATGGTAGTCGCTAAATTTAATTCACATGGAGATCAGTTTGTCCTTCATAGATTTATGATTCAATGTACTCAAAATACCAAAATACTGTGTGTTAGCCATTGTTATGTGGTACTTACCATTCTGTCCAATAGATTAACTTGCCAGTCATCGTTTACATGTATTGCTTGCATATTGCCATGGATGGCTTGTATATTGTCATGAATTGGATGCACATTGCCATTAATTGCTTGCATATTGCCTTGAATTGCCTGCATGTTGCCATAGATTTCTAGCATGTTGCCATGATTTGATGGCATGTTGCCATGAATTGCCTGCAGGTTGCCATGGGAATTATATTCCAACATACTGCAGGAGCAAAATATACAAAACGATTATAAGGGCAGTGATTTTGATCTTCCATTTTAAATGTTGGCATTGTGACTTGTGGTGTCATTTTCTTCATTGTATCTACTTTGAGATTCTTTTTTTTTTCTTTTTCTGAACTAGATATATTTTTTAACAACTAAATGCACATTCATACCTATGTTAATTTGATTATGAACAAACAACATGTTTTAATGATGAATAAAAATCAACTCAACCAAATTAGCTGGAAATTGGCTAAATAATTGTTAAATAGAATTTGCCTGAAAAGAAAAACATTTCTTGTCTGATTCAATTCTGGGTATACTCATGAGCAAATAAAATAGAAAAATAGGCCTGAAGACACATGGGGCACTCCCACAAGTATGATATGCATTCTTGTATTTTTTTATGTATAGAAATTGTTGGTTGTTTATAGTAGATGCACAGGTAATTGAAATTTTGATCTATAGAAGCATGTCATTTTTCAGGGAAAATAACCAGGGTTTCAACAGAATTATGAATTCAGGTAACCGCACTTGAATTTATAAAATATAAAAAATTAGTCATTTCCAAATCAACCTTTCCTTTTGAGTTTTCTATCAAATTTTAGCCAGTCACAATTAAAGTCTGAGATATGAAGGGTGTCTTCATTTCTGTAAGTGACCTAATGGGATGGCAATTAAAATACAGTATGTATCTGCACACTGTATTAATAGCCTTGTATTAAGTGCACAATTAGCCAGTCACTCACAAAGATATCTATTTAGCTTTGGATCATATATTTTGAACTGCGGTTAGAGATACATATGATGCACGATCCTCGCAGTAGAGAGCGCTATTTATGCAATAGCGAAAATTAGTATTTGGCTTTGTTAACAAATCACATGTTCATAACTGGTGTAGGATAATCAGTACTGTAGACATTCTCAGAAACCTCAGTTTCTAAAAACAAAATTGGTGCTTCCAAGAAATTACTGTATACCAGTCACAACAAGCCACATAGGCATAGGCATAACTGGTATTGGTTAATCAGTGATGTAAATGTTCGCATTTATCCTCTTTTTTTTGCAAATGAGATATGTTGTTTCCAATTATTAATAATTAGAGTCATAACATGTAATACACAGGGCTCCCTAATTATTCTAACATATTTATGATTATCATAGTAATTCTCATCATTTACCGTGTGTGGGTATTTCGTGTGTCAGCGGTGATCTGTAAAAAGGAAATTACAATTCAGTGCTGCACAAAAGTAATCATATTGTATGGCTATATTAAAAATGATATAATAACCATGTCTGTATGGAAATGTGCTTTGCCCAGAAGTGTCAATATTTGCACTCATTTTCTGCAAGTTTGACAGATTGCAATCTGCATAATTACAGATATGGCTTCTTTAAGTGGCCAAATATTGCATATTTGCAGAGGGAGGGATGAGAGAAGTAATATATGAAATTTTAAGTGGGCCATTTTTTTGTAGAAATACTGCATAATTATTTATCTAGTTACAGTTTTTGTTCTTACCTCTAGGTCCTGAATCTGAAATTGGCACAATATGGATGCCATGTCATCACTATAATGAATTAAGCAAGAAAATAGGTGAGTGTAATCGCTAAATGTAGGGCCTTTTTACAGTCAATTGTTATGTTCTAAATTGTGTGCATGTGGTATGAATTTTCATATAAACTTATTTCATGAGCATGTACATTTTGACCTGACGGTGATTACCAGGCCTCTAGTCATGGCAGTAAATGGTTATGTGCACAGGTAACAATAAAGTGGTGTCCAGGTAATATGGTGCCAATTATAGTCCAATAGTCAACTTGTACTTAAATACATTAAACAAAAAAATCCTCAAAATTGTTTGGAAATTCCCTTCATTTTTAGTGTCCATTTGCTTGATTTAAGTGACTATCTATTCCTGGTTAATTCACAAGGAACATGGATGTAAAAATTGGGATTGGGATGCTGTTTAGAAAAGGTTTCTGCAGCATGTGGGGTCTGCTTAATACAGGTCTCACTGGAATGAATTCTTGTAGGACTAACAGGAAAAAATCAATGTTTGTTTACCTTTAGACAAGTTCACTTGACTACAGTTACACTTTTCTCATTGTATGCTAGTATTTTCTCATAACTTTGTTCAACTTACTTTCTATAGTCATCCTAAGTAATGATTTAAGTCTAACTTTACATCTCAGTATGAAAGAATGATAATTTATTACAATTTGAAAACTATGTGGGGGCACACAATTATGTATTTAAGTATGTGGCGGGCATGCAAGTAGAGAAGAGTAAATAACTTACAAATGAGAGTCCATAAATCCGTTTTGGACCTGAAGGAAAAACAAAAACGTTCATGGAAGTTGCTATGCTCAAGAAAATGAACATGGACTTAACATTCATGTAAGCTGATTAACCCCCAAACAGAGATGAAGTAAATAGAAGCTTGTCTTTGTTGTAAGATATTGTGAACATTGTGAAGTGGTTCATGTTAAAATAGCTTTTCAGTCTATTACTGCTACAAATATGAGAATTTAAATGGTTGCTTCTGCCACAAGTATCTTTGTACCCTTCAACTCCCATGTCTTGAAATCAAGGATTGTCTCGCAAGCTTTAACCTCGCACTTGGAGCTATCTCAATCATCCTCGACTATCTACGGATTTTTACAGGTTAAATCCAACTATTAGTGTTCCCAAGTGTAATTACAAAACCTGGAGGACCATCCGATCCTATTCATATTCAAGAAGCAAAACAGTAGTCTTAATCAATGGATTTAAATGATCATTTTCGATTCTCAAAAGCACAAACGGCTAAATTTTTTGCCTAGAACTCAGTATGAAATAATTTCGTACCAATGTATAACATGCATGAGAGGGGGGAATACGTCTTTTCACAGCCTTCCTTGACTGTGGTTAGGCATGAATAAGCATCTCCAAGTTCTCTACGCGTTACTGAACATCTCTAAGATGTCTAAACGATACGAACCTATACCTTTCTACCTTCTTCTATTCTGAACAGCTTCTCAGATATTGTTGTTCATTTTTGTTCATAAGTGTTTAAACACAATTTAACAGCATTTGGCTGGCTTGATGTGCTAGGAGAGGCGGCATAACAATTGACATTCTGTGCACATTCTACTTGTAACTCTGTATCATGATACACCGCGTTATCGGATGCGTTTCTTGTATATAGCAGGAAAAGCTTGTGATATAATGGGAATTTTTCGATATGAAACAATGAACTTAACTCATAAAAGACACTTGTATTTAGGATTTACGCGTTGTTTACGTGGGGAACTTATGATTTACTATATTTTCTCCACATTTGGTACACATTTGGCACTTACGTGAACAATTCTGTCAGCGTTGGCCATTGAAGTTGCTCCTTTGAAGGTTCTGCAGCATCACACCAAAGAAAAACATGGTTAATAGCTGTAAGAGCCCGCAATTTCGTCAAAATTTGCAAATTTTCGTGGATATTGTCAATCTGATGCGCCAAAAATTCTGCTGTCTTGGAGTGTCTCCTGTAGTTGGAAAAGTTTGGTGGTATTCTCGTTTTCCATACCTTCGCCCTGCTCTGAATTTTCCACCAGCTTGTTAGGAACGATTTGTGGTTACTGAGTTTAAATGACAGGATACGTTTTGCTCTTCAAAGGATTCATTGCTGCATGATTCATGTGTCAATCTAATAAGTATTTCTCTCTGCAGTGATTTTAGGCGACAAAAAGCAAGTCTACGCGATATTGATGTTTTTAAACGTTCGGTTTACGATGCCAAGTGTATACAAACATTTCTCTACAAGTTTAGTTGGAACAAGAATAGCGCTAAATGTCGCTAACTCTTCTTGTATTACAAAGACCGTACTTTCTTACTTAAACGTTGGTATTATTTCAGACACGGATCGTAACGTGGTATCTTTCACAAAGCATTGGAGATTTAGTTGTTTAAGATGGGAAATTTTCTTACCTTATTGTGGCTGCGGTTTGAATAAAGCTCGAAGTCAATTTTTTGCGCTAGCGGTTTTTTCGTTTGATGAAACCATGTGTTTGCTTCCTGATCATGCGCCAGGGTCCTGGACGAAGACCCTATAACTAAATGCACCTGATTGGCTGAGTCTTCAAGACTGATTTGTCACATAAGTCTAACTCATAGTCCATGGAGGTTAAAAAACGGCTTTAAATGTGCCCGATTTTTGCGCTGTGAAACTTGCGAATAGGTGGGAAAATTCTGTCTAGACTGCCATTTTATCTTTTTGATCTGTTAGATAAACAGTGTGCATTCAAATAAAAAGGATTCAGTTGTATCCATATTTCTCTTACCATGACTTTTGTGGTCATGTCAGGTTCTGGAGCAAATTGTGCTATGTTATGCTGCACATATGGACATGTGTAGACAATCACTTGATGTGGTAAACCCGGAAAGTCATTCTTGGCCTTTGTGTTACACGATAGCGCTTAATGGGAAAAGCTGAAAGAAAAAACAAGTGGAAATTAAATTACAAATTGTAAACCAAGGGATCCGGGCTACCAAGTTGTGTTTCGGGCTGGTAAATGCTAGAAATCGCGAGCCCGGTGGCTAGTAAAGCAGGTAACCTGGTGTCGGACCCTGGTTATCTCGACTCGGCATTTTAAATGTGTGTCTTTGAAAGTACCTTATTAGAGGGTTTCCACCTGTGAGGTTGCCTGGATCTAGTTCTACCTCCAGGATGGATCGGCGATCAAACGAAACATTTCGAACGGTGATTGGTTGCTATTTGCTATTTACCAAACCATAGTGAAAAATCCGGGGACGCGTACACGGAAAAGTAGTTCATTAGATGGCGACATTCACTGCAAGGATGCGTCCATCGTGTCTCTAGTGAGGTCAATGCTTGTAGTTTCCTCGCCCGTTCCACCCTATACTGACTTGGCGGTGCGTAGTTTCTATAAAGCACGTATGACATGACATAGAATTACTTCAGTTAGCGGTAGAAAGTTTGTGGGATTGCGTGTCATACACGGGGAGGAAATTCTGTTCATCTTATTGATCTCTTTACTTTCACTTCTATACAACTCGAAAGTCTTGTTTTAGATGTATAATTCATCGAATGTTCGTTGTGCTTAAAGGAAGATAGACAATTCGCTTGCAGTTCAGTTCACATGTTCAGTGTAGCACTTTGATTGAAAATATATTTTGTGTGATGTTGTCGACAAACCTACCTCTGTCCCTTGTCGCTGTACTCGATCGAATGCGGTTTACAATGCATTCCTCTTATTATCTGCTACATAACCTGTCTTCTCAGCGCTCTACAAGAGAAGGTGATTTCGAGCAAGTTTCTTAGATCTTTTACACGGGGAGTTTTTTTTTTTTTCTGTGCAAATTAGGGAAAAAGCCCTACATGGAAATATATAGAAGGTACAAGTCTGGGCATATTATGTCAAACTGGTTTATTACGACAATCAAGGACCCAATTTAAGATGATTTTTTAAGTATTTCAATGTGGTATTAACATAACATTCGATGATGTTTCTTTTTTCAAAAGGAGAATAAATTGTACGTGAAAGTCTGTGATGTCTTAAATAGGGCAGGCTGACGCGGTCTCGAATGCCTTGGTAATTTTGCTGTAATTTGCGATGACTTCATCCGGAAACTGAAACTACTCAAAATGGAAAAATTTCAATTATGAGTAGGCGATTGTATTGTTAAAGCGAAATATGAAATGTCTACATATATTATATAATAAGAATGTGAGAAGTCAGCGATTACAACCTGGTTAGATGTACTGCTCTTTGGGCAGTACGTCCATATCCGTTTTTCAGGACTAGAAGAGAATTATTGGCGAAAAAGCTCTTAATTGTGATGTTTATTTATGCGGATGTGACATGAAGCGTGATATGTTAGTATGATACAATCATAGCGTATCTAGCTATAACAACAAATGGAGGCTGACGAAGACCACAGGAAAACATAGGAAAGATATTAAGTGGCAATGGTAAGCAAAGTTTTATTCTTTTGGTAGTCGCTCGTTATTTCCGTAAGCGTTGCTGGTTTTGCAGTTTTTCCATTGTTGCACTCGGGAATTTACCCTGGGACAAATCCCTGTCGAGTAGAAGTTTGGCCTGCAAGTGTAGCTTTTTTTTAATGCCGTGAAACCCCCTGAACTTGACTTAAATCTACCTAATTGGTATTTTCGTGGATGACTTAGTGTCTTCCTCTGTGACATGAATACCATGACAACCAGTTGTTTATCAACTGTTACACGTGCGTGTGTTTTGACAAGGTGGAAGGTGAAATTGACACGGAACAGTTTATGAAAAATTAGAAAATACGATTGTCTGTTCAGTCGCTCTAGCAAAGAATTCTCTCTTTCATAAGACTTTCTGCACCAAGAAGCGACGTTTCTTCTTTGATCTGGCAGCGATTCTCCGTTTAAGTAAAGACAACAGAAGCAGAATGTTAACACCTATTAAAAGTTTAGCGTCCTTTGCGTTTATGTTTGTTGACTGGAGTTACATTGTATTGCCGCGGAGTGGTAAAGCATGGACTCGGTTGTCACAGATCGCTGCGATCATATGTGAACATGCGATTCGCGATCTTCGGTTGAGTGGTTTAAGCGAACGTGCGATCACCTACGATCGTCTGCGATTATATGCGAACCAGGCTTAAAAGGGCTAAAGCTTATACTGCCGTTGCAATCTTGGTTGGGCTTTGTGAGTGAAATGGGTCGTCGAGTTTAGCCCCTTTTTAAATAATTGGAAGAGTATTGTAAGATTAACTTAGATATCAATTATTAAGAGGAAGAATAATTAGCATTCAGACCTTATTCGATGATATCGTGTGGCAAGTTCTACTGGCGTCCCTAATTATTTTCTTTAAAGAAACGTGTAATGCGAACAGTTGGAAATGGTTTAAATT